ACGAAGACATATCCACTCAAGATGAACTCAAACGGACAAGCAGGCGCAGGACAGCACATACATCCAGTGGAGACTGTAACCTAAGGTGGTCCAGTTGGTCTCTCACACTCAGTTGCATTACTACAAGCAAACAGACAGACGATGGCGATCTTCGAGGCGTCTTTGATGTTCATTTTTAAAGGGCCGGCTTTCTCTGTGTCTCTTCCCAGCAGCCCCTGTGCCCTCTGAAGCTGTCCAATAGGGTTAAATCGCCGGGGCTGCTGAGAGATCTAGTACATCAGGGGTCACCAACCTTTTTGAAACTGAGAGCTACTTCACGGGTACTGAGCCATACGAAGGGCTACCAGTTTGAAACGCCCTCCTAAACTTACCTAAACTTCATGTATAATAAACATGTTTCAAATGTTTTTTTTTAGATATTGTCATTTTGAAATCTATATAAATGCAAATGTGATTAAAGAAGAATAGCAACAGTTGGTGACCCCTGTAGTACATCTTGTAGTGCTGCTACAAGAGGACAGCGCAGGAAAATTTATTTCCGCTTAGTGAAGGGAAAGAAGTATATTTGCGTATTGATTCAGATAATATGTTTTAGACTTATGACCAAGACCAAGGCAAGGTCAAAACAAAATGGGCTCCAGACCAAGACTGGATCTGGAGAAGTACAACTCTGCTGTACATCATTAGACAGTACTGTACTCTTTCGAATGAAAGTGATTCTGATGTTTTAGCCTAAACCTAATTCTCTAGAGATGATATAGGAATGAATAAATATCACACATGAAGGGATGACAGAGTAATGAAATCATGCTTTTTATACCCCTCAAAGGATGAAGAAATACTGAAAAAACATCAGCTACTGCTACGTTTTACAATGAAATACATTTTATAATGTATCAGTACATAACCTGTAATGAGAAAAATTAATTTGTTTAAAAATATTTTGTACTCACTGGGATACAGCTTAATCTCAGTATACAGGGTTTACCCTGTATGTGTAAGCACTGTATGCCCTGTATGTGTAAGCACTGTATGCTCTGTATGTGTAAGCCCTGTATGCCCTGTATGTGTAAGCACAGTATGTGTAAGCCCTGTATGCCCTGTATGTGTAAGCCCTGTATGCCCTGTATGTGTAAGCCCGGTATGCCTTGTGTGTGTAAGCACTATATACACTGTATGTGTAAGCCCTGTATGTGTAAACCCTGTATGCCCTGTATGTGTAAGCCCTGTATGCCCTGTACGTATAAGCAATATATACACTGTATGTGTAAGCCCTGTATACCCTGTATATGTAAACACTGTATGCCCTGTATGTGTAAGCCCTGTATGCCCTGTATGTGTAAGCACTATATACACTGTATGTGTAAGCCCTGTATGTGTAAGCCCTGTATGCCCTGTANGTGTAAGCCCTGTATGCCCTGTATGTGTAAGCACTATATACACTGTATGTGTAAGCCCTGTATGTGTAAGCCCTGTATGCCCTGTATGTGTAAGCCCTGTATGTGTATGCCCTGTATGTGTAAGCACTATATACACAGTATGTGTAAGCCCTGTATGTGTAAGTCCTGTATGTGTAAGCACTATATACACTGTATATGTTAGCCCTGTATGCCCTGTATGTGTAAGCCCTGTATGCCCTGTACGTAAAAGCAATATATACACTGTATGTGTAAGCCCTGTATGCCCTGTATATGTAAACACTGTATACCCTGTATATGTAAGCACTGTATGCCCTGTATGTGTAAGCACTGTATGCCCTGTATGTGTAAGCACTATATACACTGTATGTGTAAGCCCTGTATGTGTAATCCCTGTATGTGTAAGCACTATATACACTGTATGTGTAAGCCCTGTATGCCCTGTATGTGTAAACACTGTATGCCCTGTATGTGTAAGCACTGTATGCCCTGTATGTGTAAGCCCTGTATGCCCTGTATGTGTAAGCCCTGTATGCTCTGTATGTGTAAGCCCTGTATGCTCTGTATGTGTAAGCACTATATACACTGTATGTGTAAGCCCTGTATGCCTTGTATGTGTAAGCACTATATACACTGTATATGTAAGTACTATATGCCCTGTATGTATAAGCACTGTATGCCTTGTATGTGTAAGCACTATATACACTGTATGTGTAAGTACTATATGCCCTGTATGTGTAAGCACTGTATGCCCTCTATGTGTAAGCACTGTATGCTTGCTGTGCATGTGCCTATGTACAGTAGGCGCATGTTACCTTGATTAGGCGCCTTTAAAATAACAGTGAAATACTGTGCCGCTCCACATGTCTTGTACTAAGTCATGTTTTCTTTGGCATCCAATGTGAAATTTGTCCATATAATGGTATGTTTTTTCCTACATAAAGCCGCCTGTGACACGGCCTCAGCTTCTGACACACCGTGCAGTGATTACATGGCAGTGTAAAATGCCATTTTGATATTTTCAAAAGCAAGGCTATGCCAATATTCTTCAATCTTGCTGGTAAAGTCTGCAGGAGTGAGAGGGGTTTCCCATAATAAAATTCACCATGAGGGTATGGGGGGGTGCCCCCCCATGATAAAATTCACCCAAGTCTAGCACAGATACTTCCTCTGGCAGTCCCACCCTGAGTCTGGTTCCTCCTAAGGAAAAGTTTTTCCTTGCCACTGTCACCTCTGGTTTGCTCACTGGGGGCTTTGGGCAGGGATGCTGTAAAGCGCTTTTGGACAATGTGATGTTGTGAAAACATGCTATTCAAATAAATGTGGATTGAACAGACATTAAAAGTTAAAATACAGACATAAAAAGTTAGCATACAGAAGCCAGTTTGATCAACATTATCCAAACAAGCTGAACTACAATCGAAACACACACTCTCTCTTCCTCCATGCCTCTCTCACCTGTCATGACTAGATTGGTAAATGCCTCGACATGAGCGCATGGGAAGTTTCTTTGCACACCCACGCAGTACACGGAGTGTGTGCGGACACAAGCGCGTGGACTCACACAAGCACTCTCGTGTAGGCGTCACATCCTCTTTCGGACTGTTTCCTCTCGCGATTCTCGCTTTGCTTCATATATGGAGGGGAAACCGGCCCCGTGGAAATCTCAAAGATGGGCCACAGTAAGAAACTGTCCTCTTCCTCTCGTGGTGCTCTAGGGGGGGAAGCCGAACTTTGGCTGTCCTGTGGGGGCGCTTTGCAGGAACGGCCGTGCTGAAGGACACCCAGCCTTCCGCTTAGTGCTTTTAGCCTCCAACACATCGACAAAGTCCCGGGAAAGGTCCCTGTCACCCGGTCTGCTGTCAGCTCGGCAATCCTGGTGTCCGTCTGTCAATTCCAGCAATCCCACAGCCCGTCTCGCACCAGTCACAGGCTCCAGGTGACCGGTGGGAAAAACAATTGCCAGTGGGAAATCCAATCCATTAAAAGTTTTTACAACTGCATCTCACAGACAGCTGGAGCAGGGGGTGGTGGTGGGCGGGGCAGACAGCAGTGTTGGAAAGAATGCTACTATTAGGTTTTACTCATCAGAGGCATGAGGTGGAGGAAAAGGACGAGACCCATGCCACTGTAACTGGGATTTGTGGTTGGCGACTTTGGCAACCTCAAGCCCGTAATGTCGTATTGCCAGTAATGAATACATGCTTGGGTGCTGTATGCTGGATGGGCTTGTACTATGATGGGGGGCATTGTCTGTAGATGCAAAGACTAAGGGATCCAAGCCTCAAGGTTTCTGGAAGAGCCTTTTACTTAAAGCTGTACACTTTTACAGAAAGAGTGAGTCACATAGGTGACAGGACACACCCTGACACGACTAAATACAACCAGTTTGGGGAGCAGCCATGCTGATTTCACTGCAGACCAGGGTGCTCTGCCCCAGGTGCTGGGACTCTGTGGATTAGGGCTCTATGCCAGTGAGAGGAAGGTTGCCGGTTCAAATCCCATGGCTGCTAGGCCTTTAAGTAAGAGCCTAAACCCACAATGATTCCAAGCACACAGGCAGCCTGTGAAGCTCCATGTTTGTACATTATGTGTTTCTGAATAATACAGACGACAGGGGTGGTTCTCGGCTAATGGGAGATCAGTGTCCAAGATTTACCAGTATAAAATTCCGTGCTTTGCTAAAAGCATTCTGCCCTAAAGCCTATATTCAAAATTTAAGTTAAATATATTAGTTCATAATAATAAATGCATGCACTACTTTGTGGCTTCAGCAGTAATGTACAGTACATAATTATTATTACTTTCCAGCTTACCTACAAATTCGACCTCAAGGCAGACTTAGGTAACCGATGTCGTTCGTAACCTGGGGACTTGTCCGTATTATTCTCTGTGTCTTTTTCCCCTTTCACCTGTGCTGCAGATCTGTGTTCAGCTGCGTTCCTCAACCTGCTCTCATTCCCCAAACCACCTACCACTTCTCTGACTATCTGACTACACACAAACCTTTAAGCTGATCCTCCAGCACAAGTTCACAAGGTGGGGGGTGTGACAGTCCCTCCATCACGGAAACCGCGCACAGCACAGCACAGCACAGCACAACCACACGAGAGACGCCAGCACACTCACCCGCACATTTTTACTATGAAAGAACAGGACTAAATGGGGAATTTCTGAACACACACACACACACATACACACACACACACAAAGCAGCAGAGGGATCCAATCCCCAAGCTCAGAGCTATCAGGAATGCTATCCTGAGTTACACTCTAGCTATAATATATTTCAGTAACACTTTACTTGATGGGGCACAGATGCTTAGTAGTATTTCAGTTACTACTGAAGCACAAATTTAGTTGCAACTTGAGATAAAAAGATGTCACAAATCATTAATAATGAATAAACATGAAATCAGTAGTTAACATGTGTTATTCATTACACGTTCCTTCAATAGTTCATAAAGGTTTATAGAATTAACAGATATAGTAACAAATACAGCAACGTTTTGAGATAAAAGATGCGTCACGATTCATTAATGAACAAACATGAGATCAGTATGTAATTAAGGCTTAGTTTGTGGTTAATTAATGCATACAGTAAGTAAGAGCTTTGTGCCCCTCAAGTAAAGTGTTAGGCCTACCCATTTTTCACAATATTCATATGGCTAATTTCAAAGCTAGTCAATCGTATTCATTTAATGAAATTGAAATGGTCAGTTTTTTTTCTACCTTTCCATAACGAAAAAGGAAAGGGACACCGAGGCTTCACACCTCTGTTCAGCGCAGATAGCGTCACCTTTCCATGAGAGCGGGATCTGCGCAACGCAGTCGAGCGGAAGTTCCTATTATAGCGGAGGGGAGGGGAAGGAAACCCATTACTTCCTACTTTTGTCTCAGTCATATTAGCCGTGTACTGTATATAAACACAGCATGACCGCTGGCAGCCTCACTTCCAAGCCTGTTGCGATAGCAGATACATGATTACGCAGACGTCCCCATATCGCTGAGCTTCGATCAGAGGACTGACGAACTGCGAGCCACGCTTTCCCTCTTCCCAGGATCTCATACTTCTGCATTTGCATCTGTCCAGATTTGTTTTGCACTCGGCAGAATGACAGACGCGGAGTCTCTGCAGCAACTCTACAATCCCAGGAGCAGGTGGCCGTACCGCTGCGTAGTGGCGTCGATTGCTTTGCTGTACCTGCTGTTGATGGGAACCGCGGTGTGGATACTGATATCCATGCCTATTTCTGACACGAAGAGCGAGCAGACGCAGTCTGGTTTACGGCAGGCAGCATCGGATCCTAGCATGATGGAGGTATGGCGATGCGAACGGGCTTGTACATGCACCGGGAAGACATTTATTTATTTACTAGTTTATTTATTTGCTTCGTTTCAGTGATTGTGTTTTAAAGCCTCGCAGTCCTATTTTCATTGTACTGAAATGACTTCGTGGGTTTATACTACAGTTTCACACACCCCCGAAAAAACGTGCTCTTAATTCATCTTGCCGGATCGTGCGTTGTCACGCCTGCCTTAATAATCCAACGGGATATTCAAGTGTGGTTACAATATTAAACATATCAGAAGAAAAATGGCAACATAATTTAGATGAGTTTCTTTAATGTTAAAAACTGAGCTGGCTAATAGATGTTACTGAGTAGCTGTCAGTAATTAATAATAATGCGGCGAAGTGTACTTTCAATGCGCGGAGTATTAATGAATGTGTGTACTAACATTCGTGCCTCGCTCCTTTCTGTTACAGAAAACAAGAGTATTTTACCTGAAGCCCAAATCAGGTGAGTTGCTTTTTTGTGCATCCAGCAAACCCAAAGATATGAAATAACGCGCTTTCCTCCGTATTCGTCCTTGTGTCTCCTTTCCTCCGTATTCGTCCTTGTGTCTCCGCGCTCCAATCCACTTTACAGCACTTTTCACTACTTTCTTACTGTCACATCAACCATCCCTACGAGATGCAACTTTAACGTGCATATCACGAAGTGTTTTAATGAAGGGCGTTTCCAGTTTCATATCCCCTGAACTGTTGGTTTCCTCTGCTTCCTGCAGATGAAGTGAAAAATCAGACCATGGACTGGAAGTCTTCCGTTCCCGGGACCTACAACGACACCCAGCGCGCATTTGTAGTGCCGCGAAAGGGCAACTACCTGCTCGGTGTAAACCTGGTGTTGCAGTGTGAGACGGATTGCCCCACCGGTTCTCTGAAGCTGAATTTCACCAGCGACAAAGGCCACCTCAAAAGCTGCCGCATGAATCTGGAGAAGGAACCCCCGTCGTGCATCCACATGCTGGACCTGCCAGCTGCTTCGCGCATGATGGTCTCAATGGGGGCGCAGGGGGAGGCAGGGAAGTTGGGGGAGACTTGGAAGGTGGACGTCAACCGCTCCCAGTGGTGGATCTTTATTTCGGACGAGTGAAGGCTGGATGGAGTCTGGTCATCCGAGCTGAATTTGCACATCTGACTCAGGGCACTGCTGGCATTCCCCGAGTCCCTAGACAGAGGGTCTACCTTGACGCATTACCAAGAATGATTTAGACCTATTTATTAATATTTTAAATATATTTTTATATATAATGCTTGTATGTATAAATATCTATTTAAGTTACGGGTATTTTGTATAATAGACATTTTATACATTGATTTGAATTGCAAAATATATTTATAAAATAGACAACACTAAAATGTATTTAAAAATAAGTATAGTATTGTTTACATAGTATTGTTTTTAAAAAAAAAAAAAAAAAAAAAAAAAAAGAATGTACACTTCTCCTACGTGGTATCGCGTGGGTGTCGGCTGCCTGGGACCTGCACCTCACCTGCCTGGACCCTCCAAGTTATGCCTTTGAATTATTTTGGTTATAAATGTAGTGTCATTTGAGCCAAGGCTGATACACTTGAATCCAATATTGGTTGACTGTATTCGTGATGACGACAGCGGTATCACGCCTCATATGACTCCGGAACCAGCGGCCTCAGGCATGTTTCGTCACCGGCAGTGATTCTCCAGTGACGTGGCAATTCTGCAACCGCTCCTCGTGCTGCGCCAGCAAATGCTGCGCCGCACACCGCCACCTAGTGGCTGTCTTATGCACTGTTCATATGTAGGCTGAAAAAAATACTGTGGTTATAAAGAACTCTCACAAAATGTGCTATGAAAACTTTATGATTTTTAAAAATGTCTTTAAACCAGTAGGTATAAAAGCAACTTTTGCTATTTTTATACAGTATTAGAGGATACATTTTATGTAGTATTTTGGTTCAAGGCACTCTAATGATTGTCAGACTAATGAATAAAGTAAAATGTTTTCTCCCACAGATCTCTCTCTGTTCCTCCTTTTTTCCCTCAGCTTCTTTGTCAGGAATAACCCATAGTTGGAATAGATAGAAATTGCATTTATACTGGTGGAAATTACTTTCATTTTAAATCATTTACTTGGTAGACATTTATATCCAAAGCAACCTACAGCTGGAAAAGGCCCAGATCAGCAGGGCTTCACAGGAGCCCAGCGGCATCATCGCTTTGGCACGTTTCATGAAACATACTTGCAGTTTTTCCTGAATTTTTCCATGCAAAAAGTGGAACTTGAAGCACAATCACTGAAAAAATCTACTCGTGTATCAAATCTGGTAACATTTTATATCCAGTGAATCTTCATACACTTTTTTCTCGATTACTTTGACACATTTCATGAAACACGCTTAACATTATTTAAGCTATAAGAGCATTCCTCAAAACAGTTCATGCCTTTAGCACAACACCATGCTTGCCTGCAAAAGCCAAGACAATTAACTTGCGTCTCAAAAGCAAATGATTCCATCAAAGACTTAGTAAGTGCCCCCAATCATTACAAACTGCATTGGAGCAATGGAAGACATTGCAGAGAGAGGAAGAGGAAGAGGGAGGGTGAGGATGAGAGGGGGAGGAAGAGTGAGAGGTAGGGGTAGAGCTGGTAGAGGAGGTCATGGGCGAAGAAGACAACAACTGTCAAATGAAATCAGAGCAACCTTAGTTGATCATGTTATCAACCATGGGCTGACAATGCAAGAGGCTGGACGTAGAGTGTAGCCCAACTTGAGCGGTTTCACTGTCGCCTCTGTCATCCGGACATTTAGACTGGAGCACAGGTATGCAACCAAAATTTCTTTCACACTGTGTAGTACACCCCATGTTATAGTGTATCAGTTGGGTGACACCTGTGTACTTCATGAATGGCTGATGTCATACACTAACTTTACACGTTTCCTGTCCAATTTACTCTACTGTGGGGGAATCTTTAGGCTGCATTGTCCAAGCCCTTTATTTTTCTTTTTTGTTTTTGTAAAGGACTGAGAGACGCAACCATGGTGGAGGAAGGGGCCAAATGTTCACCGGGGTGCAGGAAGCTGCCATTGTAAACTTGGTCTTGGAGAATAATGAAATCAGATTAAGAGAAATTCAAAGCCACATCATCCAAGACAACACCATATTCCACAACATTCAACGAGTCAGTCTGTCCACATTGGCTCGCATTCTCAAGCGAAACCAAATCAGCCTGAAACAATTGTATAAGGTGCCTTTTGAGAGAAACTCTCAAAGAAACAAAGAGCTCAGACGAGCATATGTGGATGTAAGTACAATATTGACCTCAGCACATTACACGCAACATTGTTTCCCAGTGTACTGGATAACACCATATTGACTGATTTTTGTTCTTTGTTTTCAGGGAGTACTGGAAATGGATGCTCATGCAATCCCACATGAGTTCATCTTCATAGATGAGGTTGCTTTCAACCTAGCAAAGACCAGAAGAAGGGGAAGAAACGTAATTGGCCACAGAGCCATTATAGAGGTTCCTGGCCAACGTGGTGGGAACATCACAATGTGCGCTGCCATCTCCAATATGCATGGTGTCCTCCACCGTCATGCCAACCTTGGACCATACAACACAGGCCATATTCTAACATTTCTGGACAGACTCCATAACATTCTCATTCCACCAGAGCGTATGAATGATGCAGACCATCCAAGAACCCGGTATGTTGTAGTATGGGACAACGTGAGCTTCCATCATGCAGCCCCAGTCCAAAATTGGTTTGCTGACCACCCACTGTTTCTCGTGCAATACCTCCCATCATTCTCACCATTTCTGAACCCCATAGAAGAGTTCTTTTTGGCATGGCAGTGGAAGGTATACGACCGGCAGCCCTATGTGCGCATGCCTCTTGTGCAGGCTATGGAAGAGGAATGTGATGAAATTGATGTGGATGCGATTCAGGGATGGATAAGGCACTCAAGGCGCTTCTTCCCTCGATGTCTGGTAAGGGAAGATATTGCCTGTGATGTGGACGAGGCATTGTGGCCAGACCCAGCTGAGAGGCAAGATGCTGCCTAATTATTTTTCTTGCCTCTTTTTTTTTTTGCTATATATTTCTTCTGCACATTTTCTTTTTCAGTTTACTGTTTTTTCTGAGCATATTTTTGTTCGCTCCAATGTTAATATATCTGCTGTGCATATGTTGCACTGACTTGTTTGGTGAAAAATAAAAAACAGAAATATGTAGTTTTGGTTGCAGTTTGCAGGATATGTGAGGTGTTTTGCTCTTTGGGTGATGTGTTTCGTGAATTGTGCTAAATGATTTGCAACAATAAGCCTTGTTGTCAAAATTGTGCTTTAGCAATTGTAAAAAACTGTAATTTCAAAGGCACATTTTGCAAAACACGGTTCTCTACATTACACACAGTTTAGCAAACGGAAACATCTGGTGTGTGAATTGGAAAACTGCAAATCAAAGTGTAACATTGATTGATCAACTGGCTACACCTGATTGTCAGGTGTGAAAACACGCACCTCTGTTTAGAGTACTCCGTACTACACATCTGTTGTACGAAAGGCTGACAGTTTTGTAGCCGCATGAACCTTTTTTTTGAATGCACATCGGGGAGTTTGAATGTTTTGCGGAAGTTAGTCCGTGTGCGTTAATGTCCAGATGTGAGTATAACGTCCTACATTTAAATATGTATTTGTATTGCTGTAATTTAGTTGTCTGTTTGAGTACCTGTTAAGTTTATTGTAATTATCGAGCGGTGTTTATTGACGGGTATTTGCATTTGTTTAAAGTGCAATCGCGAGTCCGTTATTATATAAACTGTTTAGTACACTAAATAGTAATAACTTACAAGGTTTAAGTATTTATGCAGCTATAACGGGGAGATATGTGTATTCTATTTGTGTTGGTGCAGTATAGAGTGAAACTTGCATTTGTATTAGTGGTGTTGTTTTACCGTTTAGGATTTTAGTATGTAGTATTAGAATGTGATTCTTTACGGACGCGTGTTTTCGTGGAGAGATTGTAATTGCGGTACTGTTCCCTCACAGACCACACATTCAATCGTCCAACTCCACTTCCCTGTTCATAATCCATGTGATGTCCCACCGAAGTTTGTGTCTGCTTCGCATGTCCTTCAGTAAAGTTCTCCTTCTGTACACGTGGGTGTGTTCCTTGTGCTCTGACCGGCATCCCAGGGTGGACACAACCTAATTCTCATTAGATCTATACAGTCCTTTAAAGGTACGTCCCAACATCTGTATTGTATGTAACTGGGAGTCATGCAGTTAGATGCTGCCAGAGTGCATCATCAGTACATCTACATTCATGAGGTCAGCTTCAACTTGAACAAAACAAGGCGTAGGTTAAGAAAAGTTACAGGCAACATGTCATTATCAAAGTCCCAGAGCAGCAAGGGATCGCAAATGCTTCCAGGGAACAAAATGGAGACTTATATCAGCACGCCATTCTTGGCTCATACAATACTGACCACATCATCACCTTCCTTGACACCCTACACAAAATAATGATTCCCGATGACCATGGGGATTGGTCAGAGCAGTTCAGGTTTGTCATCATTTCGGATAATGTGAGCTTCCACCGATCTGCTATGGTCCAAAACTGGTTTACCAGCCATCCGGGATGTTCTGTGCTGTATCTCGTACCATACTCACTGTTTCTGAACCCTATTGGCAAATTCTTCTCATGACGGAGGAGGAAGGTACTGTATAAGATGGCCAGTCCTACAGACATGTGCCTCTTCTCCAGGGATAGAGATGAGAAAGCAAACTCGTGTCAGACACGTCAGTCCAGACCACACCTCCCCTGCTGGCTTGGCAGAGAAAACATTGCATGTGATGTAGATGAGCTGTTGTGGCTGGACTCAGACCAGAGACATAATGAAGTAGATCCAGGGACATGATGAAGAAGATCCAGAGAAAAGGCACACTATAGCCATATTTATTACACATTATGAATGCTTTATGAAACTCTCATCTAAAAGGCAGTATAAGTACCTTTATAATGCAGTACGAAACATCCTTATTGCTTATACTGATCATTATCCATTATAATGTATTATAAAGTAATTTATAGTGCATTATAAATGAGAGCTTCATAGAGCATTCATAATGCATAATACACACAACTGTAATGTGTTATGGTTTTTGATAAATATTTCATGAGTTAATAGTTTTGGGTAAGTTACTTTTGCAGCTAAACCACAGTGTTCTGCTATATGCATGAACTGTTTTGAGAAATGCTCATAGTCTTGATAATGTTAAGCATGTTTCATGAAATGTGCCAAAGCAATCAAGAAAAACTGTAACAAACAACAAGTGCAATACACCTACAAGTCATATCCATGGTGCCTCTGGAGGGAGCAGCAGCATGATGAATCTTTTAAGCAGCCTATCTTTTATAGTCTTCGTTGTCCTCACAGTCTGGTGGTCCTGGTTGTTCTGGCTGGTGGCAGAAGGGAAACAGGCTGTTGGAGGGGTGGTCGGGCATCCATGATGATGTTGGAGGCTCTGTGGATGTAGCGTTGGTTGAAGATCTCCACCAGGGATGGGAAATGGGCACAGATGATCTTCCAAGATGTTCTCACTAGCCTATTCCGCTGTCTCTGTTCAGATGTTGTGCAAGTTCCAAACTAGACAGTGATACAGGAAGTCAGAACACTTTCAGTGGTGCCCCTGTAGAAGGTGCTGAGGGCTGGGATGGGCAAGCTGGCCTGCTTCAGCCTCCGGTGGGAATGGAGCCACTGTTGGGCCTTCTTGACAATTGTCAATGTGTAAGTGGTCGAAGTCAGATCGTCCGCCAGGTGCACACCCAGGAACATGATACCACTGACCCTCTCCATGGCCATGCCATCTATAGTCAGGGGGTGGTGTTCTGTGAAGTGTTCAGGAAGGTGGCCATCCTGAAGTCTGTGATCATGTCCTTGGTCTGGTCAACATTCAGGAGGAGGTTGTGTTGGCTGTACCATGCCGTTGGCTGCTCCACCTCCA